GGTTCCTTCGAGACCTCCCGATATCCAACGAGCGTACGTCAAGTGGTTTTTGTATTCGGCAGGGGCCACCGTCGGCTCGAAGATTATGGAGCTCGCTTTTCTGCTTGCACTTGTAGAGGTAGTCCTCAAGAAGCTTGCGGACGGCATATGGCGGCTTGTTCTTGACGTTGCCGTCAAAAGTAGGCGGGGAGACTGGCGGGATCTTGAAGTCCTTGAGGCGGCTCGATGGGTTGCCTGAGCCCGCGACGTTGGCGAGCTGTGTGACGAGCTGCCGCAAGACGTTCTCGATCGAAGTCGGAGGTGTGGCCGGGTCGACCTCGTCCAATGGGACCTGTGCCGTGGACGGTGGGGCCGAAGATTGTTCTGACTGGCCGTGGTGTTAGAGGGCCTTGCTCGTCGGTGTTGGGAAGGTCGAGGGGTGTGTCGAGTGGGCTGTCCAGGAAGTCGGTGTTCACTTGCGGGTACGAGTTCCGGAATTCGTTCCTGGCTAGTCGAAGGTGCTCGACCGTTGCTTGGCGCAGGATTGGGTTTCGCATTAGTCCTACTGTGCGGCGCTGAGCGGCGAGGTCTTCGAGAGCAGAGGATATCATCTCCGTAGGCGAAGACGCGGAACTTGAGGACGACATAGTAAAGGGCGGCGGTGGGTAGACCGACGAGGGACCGTGGCGACGGCAGTCGCTAGAACGAGAACAAGAGACGTGATGGAGTTCGTTGGCGGCGCTGAGGCTTCAGCGTCGAGATTGCGAAGGGACGGAGCGAGAGAGAGAGAGAGAGAGAGAGAGAGAGAGAGAGAGAGAGAGGAGAGAGAGAGAGAGAGAGAGAGAGAGAGAGACTCGAAGTCGACAGGATGCGAGGGAGTCGTTTGGAGGGTAGAGTAGAAGAGGTAAGAGGATAGGTGTCAGGAACAGGGCAGGACAGGACAAGGCAGACAAGGAACTGAGAGGAGTGATGATTGTATTGGAAACAATAATTCACTTGAGGGATGGGACAGGTCCCCCATCCCCCTTTTATACCTTTTGAGAGTCTTCCTTGTCAAGACTCAAAGAAAGTTCCAGAAAGAGCAATTAGTAATACAATGATACCAATGATACCAATGACAACAAGACAAGTCAGGAAAGCAAAGAAGGTTCCAGAAGGTTCCACAAGGTTCCATGAAGGAATGTTCTAGAAGGTTCCAGAAGGTTCCAGAAGGTTCCATGAAGGAATGTTCTAGAAGGTTCCAGAGGTTTCCAGAGGGTGATTCATAACATCATCTCCCCCTTTTAGGCCTCTTCTGCAACTTGGTGGGGTACCTGGTCTTGAACTTGAGCAAAAGGTCTTTGGCAGTGAGTGAGGTTTGACTCAGGTTCCCAGGTGTTGTCAGCATCTGAGTAACCCTTCCACTTAACAAGGAACTTGAGTGTCCTTCCAAACCACTTGGCATCCAAGATTTGTTCAACCTCAAATTCCTCTTCACCTTCTACCTCAACTGGAGGAGGAGGAGGAACAACTCTGCCTGGAATGGAATTGGCCACAAACTTCTCCAAAAGGCTGACATGGAAAACTGGGTGGATCTTCATGGATGCAGGGAGATCCAGCTTGAAGGTGACTGGATTGATTTGCTCCAAGATCTTGAAAGGTCTCAACTTGAGGTTGTCTAGCTTGGGACTTGGTCTTTTGGACTGCAAGTTCTTCCTCATGCCTGGCCAGTAAAAGTCTCTGGAAGCAAGCTCATATGTCTTGTGCTCTCCTGGGTGTCCAGCTGTTGCTGCAACATGCCTTGTCTTGAGTATCTCAAGTTTTTCCTCTTCTTGGCTGATTTGAATCTTGTGAGGCTTGGGGTCCTTGGAAATAGCATGGGCCCACACACTGTCAGGAAGCAGTGAAAGGTGTGTCTTGGATGGTGGGGTGAAACCATCTCCCCCTTCAGGTGCAAGGTCTGTCCTTCTGTGCTCATCAGCAGTGGGGCTTGAATTGTTGACTGGGAACTGTGATTCTTGAATCTTTGACTGAGGGTTCTGTTCTTGGCAAAGACTGTGAGCTGTGGAGCTTGAATCTTGAATTTGGACTGTGAACTGTGGTACTTGAATCTTTGACTGTGGGTTCTGTGAACTACAGACTTGGCCATGACTGTGAGCTCTATGAGCTGTGCTGGAATCTTGACTATGAACTGTGAACTGTGAAACTTGAATCTTGGCTGGGATCTGTGAGCTGCAGGCTGATACTGGAGCTGTCATTTGTGGTTGACCTTGGATACTAGGCTGAGAGCCTTGAATCAGGGACTTGAGAGCATGAGACTTGGAGGCTTGACTTGAGTTTTGGGTGACTGTTCCAATTGGTGGAGGTTGGACTTGACCAGTGACCCAATCAATGGCAGGGTTCTGGGCTTGCAGCCATGGTAATCCCAGGATGACAGAGAATGTGGGTGAGCCAAGATCCAATACTTCCAGGTTGACCATGGATGGTGGAAAGTCTTGGATGTGGAGGTTTAGCTTGGTTTCATGGCTGATTTCCTTGAACAGAGCATGATTGGCAAAGTGGACCTTGAGGGGTGTGGATTTCTTGATCGGTAGGAATGGCACAAGACTTGGCAAGGGTGGCATCAATGATGTTGCAGGATGATCCAGAGTCAATAAGGGCCTTGGTTGTGATGGTTGACTTGGGTGAGAGTTGAATCTTGACATCCATGGTGAGTTGGTGGGGCTTGGAATCTGAGGTGTTTGTGGTGCTGGTGGTGGTGATGAAACAGGGGCAGTTTGGAGGAGGGTCCAGGGAATTGCCCCTCAGTGAGCCTGGACCTGGGAGTTTGGGTGCTTCTTCCTTGGGCAGTCCTTGACAGCGTGTTCCTTGGAGCCACAGTAGAAACACAGTCCCTGCTGGGCCCTCCTTGTTTTCTCCTCTTGGCTCAGAGGACTCTTAGGAAGTGTCTCAACTGCATCCACTTGCATGGGTTCAGGAACTGTAAGAGCTTGAGGAACTGGGGTAGGTCTTGATGTAGTTCCTATTTGTCTTTGCTTCAGCCTCTTGGAGTAGAGTCTGTTGTCAATCTTGATGGCAAGGAGAATGTACTCTTCCAAGGTCTCAGGGATGTGCAGAGACTGGGAGAGCATGTCTTGGATAGACTCATTGAGACCATCATGGTACAGCTCCATCAGAGCTGCATCATTTTATCCAGAGTCTCTGGCTAGTTGCTTGAATTGGTTGGTGTAGGCCACACAAGATTGCTTTCCTTGCTTGATATGCTTGAGCTTGGATCTTGCTGTCCAAGATGCGTAGGGGTCACCAAAGGTAGCTTCCAGCCCCTCCCAGAGCTCTTGCAGGGTGGTGGGTGTGCTTGGGAGAGATCTGTACCATGATTGAGCTTGACCAGACAGGAGGGTGCTTGTGAAAAGAACCTTGACTTGCTCACTGGGAAATCTTGAAGGTTGGAGAAGGATGACATTCTCCACAGTGGCCATAAAGTTCCTAAGGTCTTTGGCCAGCCCAGTGAACTTGTCAGGGCTGGGAACCTTGGTCTCTCTTTCTTGGTTGGCTTGGGGCAGGGGAAGAGCTTGATGTTCTTGTTGGTGAAGTTGTTGTTGAAGCTGGTGCTGCTGGTGAAGGACTTGTTCTTGAAGTTGGTGTGTCTGTCTTGAAAGGGCTTGTAATTGGTCCATCAAGGCTTGGAAGGCAGTTGCATCAGGGAAGGTGTTGTTTGGGTCAGACATGATGGCAGAGAGTAGTAGGAGAGGGTGAAGTGAATTATAATGTCAGAACAGGGCAGGACAGGGACAAGGCAGACAAGGAACTGAGAGGAGTGATGATTGTATTGGAAACAATAATTCACTTGAGGGATGGGACAGGTCCCCCATCCCCCTTTTATACCTTTGAGAGTCTTCCTTGTCAAGACTCAAAGAAAGTTCCAGAAAGAGCAATTAGTAATACAATGATACCAATGATACCAATGACAACAGACAAGTCAGGAAAGCAAAGAAGGTTCCAGAAGGTTCCACAAGGTTCCATGAAGGAATGTTCTAGAAGGTTCCAGAAGGTTCCAGAAGGTTCCATGAAGGAATGTTCTAGAAGGTTCCAGAGGTTTCCAGAGGGTGATTCATAACAATAGGGGCGACCGCACTACGTGGACAGACGTTGAGCGACCGCTGCTACCATATGTAAGGAGAAATGTGTAATGGAAGCTGAGTCATGTATTGAGTGATGTAAGGCCCATTTATGTCCGATCGGAGCGGGAAAACTAGAATACCCAAAGTGGGGAAAGAGATTTACCCGTGAGGGAAGAATGGAATATCCGGGAGGACCAGAAGAATGGAAAAAGCAGTTGGACAGGGACATTCCGTCACAGTGAGGGCGTCCTCGCTGCTTATGTGCAACGGAAAGCTGAACCTGACCAAAAAAAAAAGTGACGGTGAGAAGTAGGCATGGAGCGTTGTCAGTCCTCGAGACTGACCGGCTTTTTCCGGGGGCTCACGGGAATGGCCCAAAAAACAGCATGTTCCTGCAAAATCCACCCTCGCACACCTGTCCCATAAGTAAAAACCAGTCAAAAACGAGAAATTTCCGGTGACTGCCGGAAGCTCCGGTGGCTCACCGGAAAGCAATGTTTTTGCTTCCTTTTTTGAAGGAGAATTCAGTTGTCATTAGTGTGGGAAGGTGTTGGTGTGCGACAATCACTGTGGCGTCTCCGGAGCATCTATGGCGAACCGCACAGTCACAACCAAAATTTTTAATTTTTTTTTCTTTTCTACGGCAGACAGACGGCAGTGAAGGTGTCCATCGTCTGTTTTTGTTTTTTTCTTTATTTTTCTACCCTTTTGCCCTTTCCGGTGAAAAAAGATTTGTCCAGTCCGCCTGGTCACTTTCCCGTGCCCCCCAGGGGTTTTTGGTGCCCGTCACCTGCATGTCGCGCGCTCGGCGCGGAATGCCACGGGGGGGTGATGGTGCGGAAAGGGGAAGGAAGAGCATTGGACTGCAATGTAACCAAACACCCGAAGAGATAGCTTGCGTCGATGGAAAAGAGATTCGAGTGGTGAGTATGGGGTTCGAACCCATGCGACCTTTCGTCAGTGGATCTTAAGGCCACCGCCTTAACCACTCGGCCAACTCACCCTTAACATTTCTAAAAGAAGACACAAAAATTAACGACAAGTCTGTCGGAAGCGGGTCGATTTTTTTACTTTTAGAAACCGCTGGTCAAAAAAACAGTCAAAAAAAAAAAAAGAAAAGAAAAGAAAAAGAAGGGATATAGCGGTCTTCACGTCCCCAGACGCACCACAAAGAACACCAAGCTTAAAAAAAAAAAAAAGTGTCCATTACGAGACGAGACGACAGCGGGGCGGAACGCTTAATTTCGGCGAAAGCGCCATCCCAAACCCCACGAAAGGAAAAAAAACACACCCCTCCTACTCCCGCCCCCCTCCGAGGGTTCAAAAACAAGGAAATCGATTGCGCTGGCTGCCTGTTTCCTGCGGTTACGCGCCAAAATAAGCAAAGGGAGAGGGAAGGTAACCTCGCTTTTGGCATGACGTGCGCGGGAACGGTCCCCGATTGTCCTCCTAATTCTCTCCCGCACGAAACATCAAAAAAAAAAAAAAAAAAAATTGCGAACTTGTAGAAGTCGTTCGAGGGGAAAGAGTTCGTGGCGCGTTGCGCCAACGGCGCGTGGCAGACAACACCCCCCACCCCCCCCCCCCAAGAGAGAAAAAAAAAAACAAAGTCAAGTCCCGACACACGCGAACGGGAACCCCCCGCGAGCGGACACGCAAAAAGAAACAGGCGGGGTTGCGTGCGTGGGGCGTACCCCCCAGACCGCAAGCGTAATCCAACATTCTACGCCGCGCCGCGTCCACGTCCGCCACAATCACCCGCATCACGTCGCTCAAGCTCACCACCCCGACCAGCGCCGCCGCCCCCGCCGCCGCGCCAGCACCCCCCACGCTCCCCACCGCCGCCGGCACCACCCCCGCCGCTCGCCGACGACGACCCCGCCCCCGGTGCGAGCAGCGTCGCCGCCGACGCCGGCCGCCGCAGCAGCTGCACGCGCCCGGGCGGGTCCGACGCGCCCACCGCGCTGCTCCGCCCGCTCAAACCTCCACCTCCTGCACCTCCTCCGCCGTTGCCGTTGCCCGCATTGCCCCCCGCACCACCACCGCCGCCAGACGACGACGACGACGACGACGAAGAGGAGCTGGTCACCCACACCCTATGCCCGCGCGTCGCCGCCATCTTCTCGATCGCGACCACCAAGGGCGTCTCCGGCGCCACAGTGAACGACGGCACGCGCTCCGTCGCCGCTGCTTGTGCGCCGCCGCCGTCGGGAACGACCCCCTGCGCGTTCCGCAGCGACACAAAGAACCGGTACGACGGCTCGTAGAGGCGGCGCCACCCTTGGTGCGGGTTCGGGTGCGAGATGTGCGGCGGCGGCGGTGGGGAGGTGGCGGCGGCGGCGGTGGCGTTTGTCGTGCTGGCGGCGGCGCGAGGATCTCCTTGACGTCCGTCATCGAGAGGGATCCGGGCGTTTGGTACGCGCTGTACGTGTTACTGGTTCCGCCGTGCCCGCCGCCGTTCGGGTGGAGCGGAGGACGTCGAAGATGACGACGACGAGAGCAAAGCGCGGTCCGAGGGCGGCAGCACCGCGACGGACGACACGCCGTGCGCGTGCATCAGCGCCAGGGCGTCGAGCACCGGCGCCGTCGCGGACACCGAGAGCACGTCGCGCGCACGAGGGACAGGTCCGCCAGCGATCGGCCGCCGGTGGGCCAGATCGGCGTCGGCGGCGGCGGCAGCGGTGGTGGTGGCTGGGACGCCGTTAGTGCGGCGAAAGACAGCCGCCGAGCGGCCGCGGACGTCCGACGCAGCGTCCCGAAATGCTCCGCAACGAGTGCGGCGACCGAGCTCTGCGACAGCACGCCCAAAAACGCCTCTTTCGGGTCCCCGCCCGCCGCGCTGCCTGGCCCCTCCCCGCCGGCCGCCGCAGAGTCCAGCACGACCACGCGTGCACCTTCTCCCTCACAAACAGCCTGACGGCGTCCATCACGGCGCGCCGGCGTCGACGGCCACCAGCGGGTTGCGCTGCGACAGATTGGCTACAAGCCCGATCGGCACTGATAGTTTGTCCCGTGCCCGCTGGTTTTCACGACTTCGGTGATGTCGAGCGGCAGCGGCAACGTCGACGATAAAAAAGGTTCGTTCGATCCTCCGGAGGCTGCCGTTGGCTCTGGCGCGCGGTGCAGGACTTTAGGATATAGGCGACCAGATCGCGGTAGTCCAGCATGCCGACAAAGGCGCCAGCGGACGCGCTGGGGGGGGCGATGGTGGATGAGCTCTCCTTGTTGACACCCAAAGGCGATCTCAAAAAAACCTCAAAGAAACGTTCCGCTGCCTCACCTGTACACGGGCGCCGACGAGATGCGGTTTTCGCGAGCGCGGCACAGCCCTCGAGCACGGTCATTTCCGCGTCGAGGTAGATCGGCGCCTTTTTTTTTTTTTTTTTTTTTTTTTTTCGAGACAGGACGGAAGGGGTTTAGTGGGGTGAGACGGGGACGAAACGTTCACGTGAAGGGAAGAGGGGGAACTGGATGTCAAGTTGGGGGGGAGGGGCATCGCGCCATCACAAACTACACCACAACCAACCGACTAACACCACCTTTCTGTCATCTCCGCTGACGCGATTGCTTTGGGGTTGTGTGTGTGCGAGTGTCAGGAGTGTTGGGTGCGGGAGGAATAATCGACCGTGCGCACAGAAAGCGCGAAGTACCTTTGGCCTAATGCTGCTGCCGGGACCCGCAGCGACGAGCGCTCGGCAGGGAGTGGAGTCGAGGAGGGAACGCAGCGGGTGCTTCGCCAACGCGGACGCCGACGACAACGACGACGCGGCGGCGCCGGCGGCACTGCTGCTGCTGCTGCTGCTGGCCATGGTCGATCGATCAAAATGCCTTGGAAATTGAAAAGCGCCGTGGTTGCGTCGGCTGGTTCTGAACCAATGTTCCATCCACACAATACCAACACCAAACATACAAGCAGCAGTCGAGATCACTCGGTCTTGTCGCCAAGACACTTTCGCTTCCCTTCCTCTGCCAAATCGTTTCGTCGACGTGGTCGTTCGGTGCAACTTCATACTGCCTACTATTGAACTACTCCCTCCTCCCACGCACGCAACACTCAAACAAACACCCACTCTG